TTTTAAGGACTGGATGCATATTCTCCTCATCACGCCTGATTATTATGATTCGTATCATGTGAAAATACTGTGCTTTGACTTATCATACCATGGAAGGCTGGCTCCTCCCAATCCATTCAAAACACCCCCTACATCACTCTATGGTCTTTTAAAAAGTAAAGTTGCTGATGGGATGCATACAGATTTTCCTGTCACAGACAAAAACAGTGCTTCAGCAACAGAAGAAAAACCTGTAGTATTTCAAAAACCATGATTAGAATTCTGTCTGCAAAAAAATCCATTTTTGTGACATTTTGCAGACGGATTCTGACGGAATACTGACGGGATGGGGTAAACGTCATATGATGGGACCTATTTGAAATCATTCTCAAACAGTCTCAGAAATTGAGTATTTATTAATGTGATAAGATCCTCAATAGCATCTGGTGTCCACATGATGTATGAAGTCCATTCATTAAAAAAGTTGTGGGATGCTCTGGAGCTTCCTTAAAGCTCAGGAGCTAACACATATTTTCTGTTGGTGTGAACAGTTGCACCACTTCCTATTTGGAAGTAGTTGTGCCTCTTCACATGGCAATCCCACTTTTCCTGGGCTCAGTCAGCCTGGGTGTTTGTGACTCAGCTGGAATCTCAGACTGATAGTGTCAATGATTCTGATAGGGATGATGGGTTTCAGATTCACAGTCAGGTGCAAAGTTATGATGTCCCTGTGTTAGACAAAGAAAACCAGGAACAGGGGGCAGAAGTTCAGTTGTTTACCACAGCAAGGGATGACACTGGGGAAAGTGAAACTACTGAGAGCCAGGTGGATTCAGGAAGGTAGGGCAGTTCTCAGCCAGATAGTTCTCAGCCTGATAATGAGGGGGAAAGCACTAATGAGGAAATTGACCTTGATGGAGCCGGGGGCTTAGATAGAGCTGGTCGGTTGGAATTTAAGGTTCGAAGGATCGCTAGCAGGTGAGAGAGGGAGGCTCGGGGCCATAGAAACGCCTTCATGTTGTCCAAAGAGTATTAAATAGGCTGTTTGAATATGCCTCAGTGTCAGAGCAACTTTCCGCTTCATCCAAGAGACTTTAGATTTATCTTGCAGCTTTCATGTTCATGTTTCAGGACTTTGTCATGTTCTCATGGGACTTTGCCTTGCCTGTGTCTTCCTGGATCTTGTTTGCCTATGTTACCTTGGATTGATCTTTTGAAATATACTTTTACCTTTTGAACTTTTTATCCTTTATTTTAATAAACCATAAAGACTACTGCTGGTGTGTTCTTTGGTGTCTTAAGCAAGGTGATTTTACGCTGAGGTGCGACACTGGGCACACAGGATGGCACTTATCTTCCCTTTCTCATCCTAGGCTTAATAATGACCAGGAGGCATGAAACTGGTGGCCATCATCACTCATTACATCCACTGGTGCTAGCTGGAGTGACGGAGTGATTGGAGAAGGCGGGGGAAGGGAGGGCACAATTCCTCCTTTCCCCCCTTTCCTCTCTCGCATTGCTCTTAGAAATAGAAAAATCACAAAGTTTCCTTTAACATACAAGCTACAGCCAAATAAAATAAATTCTGTCTATCAAATCTAACTATCAATCTCTTGAAACAGATGAATCTAGTTAATATGCAAAACAATTTTGAAGAAGTTGGTAGCATAAGCTTATGCTACCAACTTCTTTATTTCAGTCTCTAAAGTACCAATAGATCCCTTTGCATACTGATATTCCAGATTAACATGGCTATGTCTTCATAAACTAATTAAATAATTCATATAACTATATCTACACCAGTTGATATTCTATAATATTCCTGACAGTAATGTATAATTTGGTAGCATCTTAAATGAGACTGATCCACTAAATAATATATAACCCTTTGCATTTTCAGTACTTTGTACAGTTGCTTCTCTGTTTTTACTCTAATTATATTTGTGAGTTTTATCATTTATGTCTAACTGTCTAGTACAAACTAGTGAATTAATTCCTAGATGATTAATCAAAACATAAACTTAATTGATTCAATGAGTTTACTCCAATTAGCATTAGCAATTATATTTAGGTCATTCAACATAACATTGAAAAATAGATATTTATTTTTATTTTACATTTAAGGTTATGTAGGAAGTAGTTAATAAATTAATAACTGTGTTACAATATCACATTTTTACACAGTGTAATAATATAATTATTGTATCAAATCTTCTGTGAACTTTCCTGGGTCCTCTTCGGGGTTAAGAAAGGCGGTATACAAATAAATAAATAAATAAATAAATAAATAAATTCAATAGGTACTATTCGGTACTGAATAATTTTTGTGCAACATGTAAACAGATACCATTGAAAAATAACCTTGCCCTAAAATCAATGCATGCTGTTTTTGAGGTACATATTTTCATTCTAATATACACCTGAGTTAAAATCCTTATTGCATTGCATTCTATTTATAGAATCCAGTTCTACCTTCTACTGATAGAACAGTAAGCTCCAATGGGTCTGGGAGGGGACAATCTTCCTTTCCAACCAGTCTTTCGCAGTGAGGACATACATTTCCAGATGGAAGGTGGTCCTGACAAGGGTTTGTTTGATGTGCCTTCTTCCTCTTGGCAGATTTCTCCCTTTTGCCCTCTATTTGTACTTCTTCAAAATTCATGGCACCATTGGTAACAGCCAGGGCTGTAGCCAGAAAAAAAAATCGGGAGGGGTTGAAATTTTCGCGGGGGGGGGGGGGTTGAAATTTTCACGGGGGGAGGTTGAAATTTTCGCAGGGGGTTGACATTTTCATGGGGAGGCTTAAAATTTTCACGGGGGGTTGAAATTTTTGCAGGGGGGGGTTGAAATCTTCGCCGGAGGTTTGAAATTTTCGCGGGGGGTTTTGACATTTTCGCCGGGGGTTTGACATTTTCGCGGGGGGGGGGGGTGGAATTTTGGGGGGTTGAAATTTCACGGGGGGGGGGGTTGAAACCTGCCTCCTAGCTCACGCTGAAGCAAAGAGCACAGCAGGGGGCAGAGCAGCCTTCAATAGCCTGCAGCTCCGCCCCTGTCAACCACCTCCACCAAGTCTGGCCTCCTTAATGAGAGCATTCAACACCCCCCCCCAACTTGGTTGCTTCACTACATCGGCTATTGCTGCAAGTAATGACAGTGTGAATAAATTGTCAATATTTGCTTGAGATAGTGCTTGCAGTTCTGGAGGGACTCTTAATTTTTTGCATCTCATAGACTTTGCATGGGGATTTGGTTAACCAGTTAAAATTCATGAGTAAACCAGGTTTTTTAAAAAATCTGAAACATTTGGGGGGGGGGGTTGAACCCCTAAACTCCTCCCCCCTCACTACAGGCCTGGGAACAGCTGACCTCCAATTAGAACTCTCAAGTGCTAAGGATTCCCAGTTCACATTTTTAAGGTTAGCTTTATGCCCATCTTTAAATCTTTTTTTAATCTCTGACGTGAATATTACAGATGAGTAACAATTCAGCAATCATTTCCATGTTTTTATAGTACTATCTCCAAATATTTTTAATGCAATCACTACTTATCCCAAATGTTTTTGTTGACTAAAAAAATATATATTCGGTTTAGTAGACTTTGTCAGATGATTTGTTTAAATAGATTATTTAAATGTATTACAGTTGCTATCAAGAGCTTTCAGATTAAAATATCCTTATTGCAGCTTCTTCATTTATTGTTTTGAGCCAAGGAATACATTGTGTTGAGTCTTTTTGTCATCAATTTTCCAGTCCTCAATCAGTAGCTAGACTAGAGACAAGGCTAAGCTCAGGGATTTCTTTTCCCACATTCCTATGCATGCTTCTTAAAGGACTTTGTCTTTTGTCTTTACTGCTATCCACTGTCTCCTTCCCCTTTTGTTGATGTAGTAATGGAATTCTGTGAGGGAACTTCCTTTTAAGTTTAAATTGCCCTGGGCAGGCCATGCGGTCTCCACCATGTTAGTTCTGCTTTTCTTCCTCCACGTGAGGAGGAAGAAAATATTTTGCCTCTCTGTAGGCAAAAGGTAGCTGCATGGAGTTTTTTTTAACCTTTTACCTTCTTTAGAAGATGAGATTTAGCAAGTTAATTAGCTCCCAGACTTTTCTATCAAAATGTATTTCCTTTTACTTTAATAAATCTTTTGAACTAAAGATTGACTCTGCAATCTTCAGCCATCCTAATGATTAGAAGGCTGTAATTGGGGGTTATTTTTGAGCCTAACACATTGTCACACCTTACAAGATTTACATGATACTACACTCTGTTTAAAAAACAACAAAAAACCCAGAAAATATAAATTACAGATATAATGCACTTGAAAATTCACAGATCTGCACACTGTTAAGTGAAAAATTGCCCTTTGATATAGATAAAGAGCAAAATAATTTTTACTCTTACAACTGAATTGCTGAATGAAGTTTATTTATTCTGGCCAGGTTTTCTTGATATACCCTTTCTTTGAAAGTTGAATCTTTCCACCTAATGGCTGGATAAACCTGCATATCAAAGCTAAATGGATAAAAGCTTTTACAGTTACTTTAGAATAAAAAAGTTGATATATTACAAATGAATCTTCTGCTCTATTTCTCTATTGTTTTTGTTAACTTATATTCATCAACAAATGGTGGAGCTTGCAGTAATTGGATTTCTGTAATTCAAAGGTGAATGTACAAACTACAATATTTTAAAACATTACAGCAGGACATCAAAGACAATATGTGCCATGAGATGTTTTAGGCAGTGAGCCAAGCAGCTGCCTTCATGTGGAAAAGAGCTCATTTTTTAAAAAAGAAATGATATCATGCAAACTGGGAAAAAAAGTTTGTTTAGTTATCAAATTTCTTAGAAATCAAAATAAGATTACAATCTATTCAACAATTAGCAAAAATTCTATAACTGAATAGCAAACCAGAAAAAAAAAAACCATAATTAAGTACAATATTTGAAAAGCAGAAACAATCTCAATGAGATCTCATGACAGAGAAAATTATTTCCAACCACAAATATTTTGCAGACTTACGATGCGTGTGATGTCCTGTGTTCTGGATTCTTTGGCTCAACACCACTTTTTCCTTGGAGAAAAGAAAGAAAGGAATATTAGTAAATAATTCATAATTAGCTATGGAAAAAGCTAAAGATTTCCGAATGTATATGAACACACTTTTTAAAGGAGTAGGTAGAGGACTATAGGAATGACACCTGAAATTTGTCAACAGAGGAAAAAAAAATCCAAGCCTTGTAGTAATGTTTAATCATTGCTTAAATACGTTAATAAATGATATCACCAGTTTTCCACACAATATTATTTTTTTATTCCTTTTGTACCACTAATCCCAGAATCCTTTGCTATGTTATCTTTGGATTTTGGCAGATTCATTCAACAAAATAGCATTTGCTCTGGGACACCCATCCTTCCCAAATCTTCTACAATTTTACTGAAAGAATTCCCCTTTTTTTTGAAGGATGGAAAATGTCCACTTTCTAGATACATTTCATATTTCAATATCCCCAAAACTAGGAGCAAATTGAATTAGTAACTTTTCAGGAAACAGCCACTCTCTTATTCTTGTCTCTCCTCAGACACAGGACACTGGTTAGATCAGGCATGGGCAAACTTTGGGCCTCCAACTGTTTTGGACTGCAACTCCCATAACTCCTATCAGCCTCAGGCCCCTTCCTCTTCCTCCTCAGCCATGTAAGCTTAAGTGGCTGAGGAGGAAAAGGAAGGCCTGGGGCTGCTATGAATTGTGGGAGTTGCAGTCCAAAACAACTGGAGGCCCAAAGTTTGCCTATGTCTGGGTTAGATGCTCTAAAATGACAAAGCAGCATGACCCTTGCATCCACTGGGGATACATTTAATAGATACCCGAAACTCCAAATAAAAGTAAACTCTATATTTTAACTTTACTTGGGCTGGAAGGATACTATAGAATAGCACTGGAGGACCTGGACAGGTTCACAAACACTCCAGGAAGGGATTTTCTTTTTGAGGATGAGTAAGTGAAACCATGGATATTAAGTCCACAGATAAAAGGATCACACTGTAGTTAAGAAAGATTTCTGATGATGTTTTTTGTTAATGATGGATTGTGGATTTTTTATATTGTGTCTTGTATTTTGTACCTTGTTCTTTTTATGTTGTACACTGCTGTGAGTCGCCTCTGGGCTGAGAACAGCGGCATATAAGCAAAGTAAATAAATAAATGAACAACTAGATTACTTATTGTCTTCATGTCACCATGAAAGTTTAAATGGACATGTTGTAGGAGAGATGTAAAATATAGTTAGAAAAGGGAAGATTTCAATTTATTGCATCTTTTATTTAATTTAATGTTTTAAAAGAATGCAAGATTTTTCTTTTTAAAAAAATCCATACATCTATTTAATCTTTTATCTATCTATCTATCTATCTATCTATCTACTCCCAATCTAGTCCAGTAGTTAGTCATTTAGCCTAGTGATTCAATTTTAGGACAGTCTGCAAACTTCAATCGATGTTGGATTGAATTTTAAAGCATATTATTTTTACATTTCTGATTTGTCTGTTTTACATATATCTGTATTTTCTGTGCTTAACAAATAAAATAATATTGCAGATTACTGTAATATTGAAAAATTATTAATACCTAGGCACTTGCATAACATTACTGTTTTGAAATAACTAATGTTCTCAGAGCAAAGGGACAAGGAGTTCCCCCAATGCATACCTTCCAGAGCCATTTCTGAAAGTTATCTTCTATCTTGAGAGAATGAAGTCTTACAAGGAGTTAGTAGCAGTAAGAGGAAATTACTAAAGGGGTATTTGTCTTCTTCCGGGCTGGAGCCAAGATGCTGTTTTCTAATTTGTAACACAGTAAACTGGTGTAAATTTTAAAGTAACTCTCCAAGGTGCTGAAAATCTTTCAGTAGGTTCACCTCCTCGGATAGCTCATTTTAAGCTAAGTCTAAAATTGGCCTTCTAATATCAGAGCCAGTGGCTGTAACTGTGTCAACTTCTAATCATATTTCCACTTATTTTGGAGTGAATCCTACTGAGGTCAATTAGGGCTTATTTTTGAAGAAATATTTGCAGGACTGTACTGCTAAATCCATAAATACCAAGTTATAATGTCTCTACTGAGATGTGAGGCATCTGTCTGAGGACAAGCTACAGGATGGCCTGTGAAAACTGATATATAAACTATCTAAATTCAGATTAGAAATATCTAATTGCAGAACAGAAAGAAAATATCATCTGGACATATATTTCATAAATATATTTATCTAATATCTGGATTAATTTTAACCCTCAACCAGTAACATCAAATATGAAGTCAATATTTTCATTGGTTTTCTGTGTAATCTAATTTCTATTATTTGGAATATTCTTTTGGTTATCTCTCCCTTAAAGGAGGAACACTTATTGCTAGGAGACCTATTAAATTAATAATTGCAGAGTGCACAGAAAGCACGGTGGTAGTCTACAGATAAAAGTGTAATTATACTTTAAGAACTGAAGAAAGAACTGAATGAAATGCAAGTGTAAAGACTTTTTACTTCTTTTGAAATGCCAAGCCATCTAGATTACTGAGGTTTTGGAAGAAATATCTTGCACCTATTGCTATAATCTGTTCCAGCCTGGAAGAGGTTTCTAAATTTAGTGTAAATGCAAAAATAAAGTCTGGGAAATAAATTGATAATATATCTAATTTGATAGGAGTGCTAACAAGAGTTGCGTTCCAATTTCCATTCTTGATTATAGCATCATTTCTGTAGCTAAATTGGGGGTGGGAGTCTGTTGGTGATGAAAAGGAAAGGGCCTGAGGTTGTTAGGAATTGTGGGAGTTGGAGTCCAAAACACCTCGAGGGCTGAAGTTTGCCATACCTGCTGTAGAAGGCCTACTGTTATCCTAATGTAAGTTTATCAAGGATACTTCCCCAAAAAAACATGTACTGTTCCCTCCAAATGCCATCAGCCTCCCATCTTGCACATTGTTTAGGAGGTTTCCTGGCCCTTGGAACAGGAATTAGGAATAAGTACAGATCAACCTTTTAGGTTATCATATGATCTAAAGCAGTGGTTCTCAATCTCTGGGGCCCCAGATGTTTTTGCCTTCAATTCCCAGAAATCCTAACAGCTGGTAAACTGGCTGGGATTTCTGGGAGTTGTAGGTCAAAACACCTGGGGACCCACAGGTTGAGATCCACTGACCTAAAGTATATGTATAGCCCAATACTTTATTAATCAGCATTGTGAAATATTAATGGATTTATAACAACCAATTAATAAAGAAACCAAAATGAGTTTTATACATTTTAGGTATATTATCAGCAAGAGGTTGGAAACTGCAATGCATACAGTTGTCATTGTTAGAAAAAACACCACAAAACACATTTAAAAAATACCTCAATTACCTAACAGCAGGATACAAGGAGAATAATGCATCCTAGGTATAGACTCATATTTAAAATACAGCCATAGCTGTGTAATCCCCCCACCTATTTATCTTCTTCTTCTTCTTCTTCTTTTTTTTTTACAGAAAATCAATGTTTCCATCAGATACTGTTGCAAAGTGAAAGTTAGTCTTACTTTGATTGTTGTGCCCTGTAGAAACATGCTGTGAGTCCTAAAAGAGCAAAAACATGAAACAGTTACACTAGTAGATCAATTAAAACCACAAAGCAGTACAGTGAATGTTATCTAACAGGAATAGCAAACAGCTTTATTATGAATGTAGTGATCACTTATTTTCATGGGTAAAGCCCATGGAGGTTCCTAGACTGATGAGCATAAGAAAAAAAATATTTGATTTTGCAGTGGACATGTCGACTAAACTTGGCTAAGAAAATCCTACCAAATTCATTGGCTTGCTATACATCAATATATAACTTGGAGGCACATACACATGCAAATAACTTGACTTCACATGTCTCTATGACTATGTCCATTTCCAGAATAGGGTTAAGTTGATCCTGCCTTCAAGGTATGTACATTTTCAACACTTCCAGTACATTTAAGTGAATAAATACTGCATACAAAATTGTCAGCTCACGACAGCTGGGCTCAATGATGACACGAGACTTCCATCGTAATCAAACAAGGAACTTTACTATCAGATACTCAGACACAGAAAAGCCGGGATTGCCTGGTCGCAGCAGGCAATCCCTTATATACACTCCCACCAGTTCAAAACGTGAACTCCCGCCAAACCCAAAACCCCGCGCAAAAGCTTCCCGCCACCAGACAACTGCTTCCCTCCAAGGCCACCAGCTGCAGATTCCTTATCGGAGTGAAATGTCAGGAGTCTAGTTTTCGGCTCCAAAGTCTTGGCTCCGGAAACTGGATCCTGACATGACGTCCTCCTCCTCTTCTTCCTCCTGAAATGAAAACAGGAAACATCTCTATATACTTTCTGGATCGAGAGGGCCTTGATACCTTTTGAGTAGTCCACAATGGAACACGGGGTGGACTTTTCCCAAACTTTTGGGTAACTTCAACTTATATGTGACATCATTTATTTTATTCAAAATTCTGAATGGGCCCAGAAACCGTGGGGTGAGTTTTCGAGATGGTGCATCCACCCTGCTGTTTTTTGCTGACAGCCAGACCAACTCGCCCTCCTCTAATTTGTCCCCCTCCCTCCGTTTCCAATCGGCGAACAGTTTGTGTTTCTTTTGGGCTTCCCGTAATGCCGTGACCACGCCTTCCCAGCTGGCCCTCATTCTGTCTGCCCAATCCTCCTCCCTCCTCTGCTCTCTTTCCTCCCATTCTGGCAACCTTGGAAGGGGAGAGACCTCTTGGCCGTACACTACTTTAAACGGGGACTCTCCTGTTGTTGAGTGTGGGGCTGCGTTGTACGCCAGTTCTGCATACGGGAGCAGATCGACCCAGTCTGACTGACGTTGATTGGTGTATGATCTGAGGAACGTCCCTAAAGTTTGCTGGGTGCGTTCCACCCCCCCGTTTGTCATGGGGTGGAATGCGGAGCTCAATGTTCTTTCCGCCCCTAACAGCCGCATGAATTCCTTCCAGAAATTTGCAGTGAACTGAACCCCTCTGTCACTGATAACCTGGTCTGGACATCCATGCAGACGGTAAACATGTTTTACAAATAACTCTGCTAGTTTCTCTGCTGATGGTAGTTTAGGGAGTGCCACAAAGTGTGCCTGCTTTGAGAATAGGTCAAGGATTGTCCATACATATCGTTGGCCCCTACTGGGTGGTAGTTCCCCAACAAAATCGAATGCGATTGAGCTCCACGGTCTCATGGGGTCAGCCACCTTTTGTAACAGACCTGATGGTTTTGTAGTGGGGGTTTTGCTTTTTGCGCAAGTGTCACATTTAGAAACATATAATTTGATATCACCCCTCATCCTAGGCCACCAACATTGCCTAGCTAGTAGTTTAGACGTTTTTGTGATCCCAAAATGCCCCGCACTCTTATTATCATGACATCTCCTCATCATCTCCTCCTGCAAAACTTTTGGAATGTATGGTTTTCTGTTCACGAACCCCAATCCACTATTCCACTCCACCTTTTCCTTATTCTCCTGGAGCCATTTGTCTTCCTTGTATGCTTGCTTCAACTCATCTTCCCAATCCTTACCCCCTCCTCCTACTCCAACCAGCTCTTTGCAGCGCTCCGCTTGTGCCCTAGTCACGACCGCCATCCCCCCCGCTGCACTGATATGAGGCTTTCTAGTACTCGCTCTTCTTTCCCCTCCTGTTTCGGCATACGAGAGCGTATCTGCGACTATGTTCATTTTACCTTTGTGGAATTTTAATTCAAATTGGAAACGTGAGAAGAACTGACCCCACCGAATCTGTTTGGCTGACAATTTGCGGGGGGATGTTAGGTACTGTAAGTTTCTATGATCAGTCCACACCTCAAATGGGATTCTGCTCCCTTCTAGTAGGTGCCTCCAACATTCCAATGCCCTCATTATCGCTAGTGCCTCCTTTTCCCAAATCGGCCAATTATGTTCTGTTTCAGTGAATTTTTTGGATATGAACCCACAAGGCTTCAAGTTCCCCTCAGAATCTCTTTGCATAAGTGCTGCTCCATATGCCCAATTAGATGCATCGCAATGCAGCATGAACTTCTTGGCCGTATCAGGGTGTGTTAAAAGTGGTTCCTCTGTAAATCTACGCTTTAGCTTTTCGAAGGCATCCTGACATTCCTTTGACCATACTAGCTTAGCCCCCGGTGATCGTGTTTTGGCTGACTCCCCCTTCCCTTTTGTTTTCAGCAGTTCTGTGAGTGGTAACGTGAGCTGGGCAAAATCTTTTATGAATGATCGGTAAAAGTTTGCGAACCCCAAGAATGACTGTAGTTGTTTGCGTGTGGTTGGGGGCTCCCATGCTCTCACGTCCTCCACCTTCGTGGGATCCATAGCAATACCTTTGTGGGATATCCTATATCCTAAGAAGTCAATTTGCTTCTTATTAAACTCACATTTGGCTAGTTTGGCGAACAATTTTGCCTCCCTTAGCCTTTGGAGTACCTCCCTCACCAATTGGGTATGTTCCGCTTCATTTTTACTAAAAATTATTACATCATCAATAAAACAAAAGACCCCACGGTACAATAATGGGTGTAACACTTCGTTGATCATCTGCATGAACGCTCCTCCCCCTCCTTTTAGGCCGTGAGGTAAAACACAGAATTGGTACAATCCTAGCGCACATGAGAATGCAGTTTTCCACCTGTCCTCTGGTTTCACCCTGAGTTTGTGGTAAGCTTCAATCAGGTCCAGTTTCGTGAACACCCTCCCCTCCGCCAGTCTAGATAATAAGTCCTTGGTTAGAGGTAGAAGGTAACAGGTGCTCGTGCTCATGGCGTTTAGCCCCCTGTAGTCTACACACAGTCGAAGTGAACCGTCCTTTTTCCGTCTAAATAGCACGGGGGCCCCGAGGGGGGAATCGGAAGGCTCAATGAACCCCCGCGCGAGGTTTTTGTCTATGTACTGTTTCAATTCGTCCATCTCCCTAGCCGACATAGGGTAGATTTTGGCTTTAGGGAGTGTAACGTCCTTATGCAGTTCAATTTTCACCTCAACCCTCCTTTTGGGAGGTAGTCTGTCAGCTTCCTTCTCATCAAAAACATCAGCAAAGTCCCGGTATTGGGGGGGAATGTCCTGTACCCAATCCTTTGGCTTGCTTTCCTCACCTCGACCACCCATCCCCGTTGGCGTCTTTGGGAATCTCAGGCTCCTCTCCTCCCAATCTATGCAAGGGTTTGCTCCTCGTAGCCATGGCATCCCCAGGATTACGTTGTATGTTGCTAATTGGGAGATAACAAATGTTATCTCACCCTCCCAGCCGCCCACTTTGCACTTCACTCCCCTAACTTCAAACCTCACCGGGGCGCCTGATGCCATCGACCCGTCTAATTGAGTGAAAGCTATGGGGATCTGCAAAGTTATCTTCTCGCATTCCAGTTCCTCTGCTAATTCTGGAGTCATTATGTTCCTGGAGCACCCGCAATCTACAAAGGCTTTGCAGCTGGCCCATTTACCCATCCCTTCTAGCCTGATGGGGAAGACTAACATTCCAGGGCTGTGACTCACCAAGGATCCCATTGGGGCCTCCAGGGGGAAACATTCCTCCGCTTTCTTTCCAGCAGCGGCTTTCGTTTTGGGCCGTGGGGGATCCCCCCCCTTCCTCTGCCAACAGCCGGAGGCTTTATGGCCTAAACGGCCACAAATAAAGCACCCGTTCTGCCGGCTTCTCTCTCCACTCGCAGGCTCTTTCTTGGGCGGCTCCCCTCCAGGCTTCCGGCTCTCCATCCTTGGCGGTCCAGTCTGCGCTGCTGCTCCTCGATGCCTCCTGATTTGAGCCAATGTCGTCTCGACCCGCCCGGCTAGTTGGATCCATCCTTGGATCGTTCCCGGGTCGTCGCGGTGGAGCGCCCAGGCCAGCAATTCCTTCCTCAAGCCCTCTTTAAAGATTTCTACTTTGGTTTGGGCTGACCACTCTGGGACCCTTTCAGCGAGCAACTGGAATTCCTCGGCAAACTCCGATACACTTCTCTGGCCTTGAGTGATGGTTTTCAACCTATCTCTCGCCTTGATGCGCTCGAGGGGGTCCCGGAAGCGCGCTTCCAAAGCAGCTAAGAACGCCCTCGCTGACCCCAGGCATGGGTCGCGTCGGGCATGGAGCTGGACGTACCAACTTGCTGCGCCTCCCCTCAACGCTGCCCCTACGGCTCTCACTCGGCTGGCCTCCGATCTGAAAGTATGCATGTTGTCCTCCAGATATCCTCGTACCAGCGTCAGGAAGAAATCAAGGTCTTCAGACTTCCCTCCAAATTCTGCACGCAGCTCCTCTCTCCTCTGCTGCAGGGGTTGGGGCTGCATCCCCTGGGCGCCTGCATGTGCCATTCCTCCCGGTTGTGTGGGTTGCCAGAACAGCGCTCCGGGTTGCCCCGTGCCACGTCCTGCCCCGGCTGGGACTGCTACAGGAAAGGTCTGAGGGGTTGTCGCAGCTCCCCGTGGCGTTCCTTCTCCTCCGTCACTTGGGGGTGCCTGGGTCCTACGTCTCGCCCCCAGGATCTGGCCGCTCCCCGCGCTCGCCTCCCATGGCGACTCCGCTCGGGGCTGGGATTTTTCCAGCAGGGGGGCCAGG